GCTCAGTACCCAACTTGTACTGGTATCTGCTAATGTTCATAATGTTAATGTATACTGCTACTTGCAATGTTCATCGTTGTGCCAGGCTGAAAGGGTGTGCTCAGTCCCTGGTTCCAGCACCCAAGGGTGCTGGGCTCCAGCCTGAACCCCTCCGTCCCTGCCTGCACACAGAGGAGGTTGGCTGCTGCTGTGGCCAGGCTGGCCGGGAGCGTGCCGCCTGGTGTTGCCTGTGGGGCTTTGGTGGGCATAGCTGCCTGGGGAAGACGGGGAGCTCTGTCTCTGTGAAAGGAAATCTCTTGGCTCTGGGGTGCTGTATGCTTTGCATTTTTGTTTGTCTGGTAGAAATTCCTGTGAGTGAGTGTGGCATCAGGTGCTTTATATCGTTGTTGTCATTTAGGAGAGATTTGCTTTTCAGTGGCTGCTTATTATCTAAATTAAATTCAAATGGTCACTTTAGACACTAAGGCTGCCTGAGTCTGTATTTTGTGGAAGCCCATTGATGCAATAATCTGCATTTATGAAAAGATGAGTATCTTGTCTAAAGGTGTGATAGTTTTGCAGGGAGCCTGGCTGGGAGGAGATGCTCTTGTCCTTCCTGCCAGGTTGTCTGCACTGGAATTAGAGCGTGGCGAATCACGGGAACGTGCGGGGAGCAGCATTCTTCTCCTGTTGTTGTCCATGTGGAGGTGGCCATTACGAGTCCCATGGGGAGGGTGACTGAAGCACCGCTGTTAACCAGGTCTTGTTTGCATGAAGTGCTGGAGGAAGAACCTGATGCAAAACCCCTGACCAGACTTGTGTCCCCTTCCAGAGACGCGCTTGATGCTGCCAGTGTGCTTTACAATCGAGTTGATGAGGGCGTTCACCGGCTGGTGATGCTGTCCAACAAACACATCCAGGAACTGGAGCTGGTGATGGAGTTTGAGAAAGTGGAAGAATGTTTTAAGGAGGTAAGGCCTGTTTGTCAGTTCCAGCGAATGCCTGCTGCCACCCTCTGACTGTACGTCCTACAGCAAGTACTGGCCCTGCTGATCTCTCCTGTGAAGGTGTAGAACGATACCTGTAGACCCTTGAAAAGAACACCAACAACTGAATGTTAGAATGGGGGATGTGTTTCCAGATGTGCTGAGAGCCAAGATACTGTTTGCCTGGTGTCTCTTGATGCCAAGGAAAAGTCTCCTAGCTGCTCTCTAGCTGTGGATCAGTCAAACCCTGTAAACATTTGTGATGTTTTTCCATACTTAAAGACCACAGTGTGGTGGCTTGTCGGTTGGTAGTACACTAGGAGATGGGGTGTCTTTTCACAGTGGTCAGCAAAAGTACCCTTCCAGCAAGAGTGTTGAGGAGCAATTCTTCATGCTCCGCCTTGAGAAGCAGCAGAGTGATGGCAACAAGCTGATGATGAGTCCGCGTGTCCCGTCTGGGCTGTCGATCCTTCAGGGTTTGCTTATATCCTACTGCGGGATGAGCCACATGTTGCATACCCCATGCTAGCTGCCCCTCCCTGCTACGCGTTCTGTTGTTTAGATTCCTGTGCAGTGCTCAGGCCGCTGCTATCAGATAAACCCCCAGGCACACTCCTTCCCCTCTGGGCAAGGGAACAGCCTCTTGTCCTTAGCCCGAGAGCCATGCTCAACCTCCCCACCCCCCTGCACTTCTGTGGGAGCTTAAAATTCCCCTTTGTGTGCTGCTCATTGAAACTCTTTACCGCCATGGGATAACTGAAGCAAACAGGCACTGGTTTTCAGAAAGACCTTTGAATCCTGTAGCCACAGAGATAGAGAACCTTAAAAAGTCATAAAGTAGCTCAAGCTGTCTGAGCACCCTACAAGACCTGATCAGTTCTTTCAGTGTTGCGGATCCCAGATGTGCTCCCGAAGCCTGAAATCTACCTTGAGATTGTGGCATCTTATAGTCTCCTTTGCTGTAACTGATCAACAATGAAAGGTTTTTTATATCACTTATTACCCCATGGGTGTGAAGGGTTGTGTGCTGTCTGGAGCTCACCTTAGGACCCCGCATCCTTAAAGATCAGTGCTAGGACCAGTTTCACCACTGCTCCTCGAGGATCCTGGGCTCTTCTCCTCTGGAGAGAGCTGGATTTGCAGAGGAGGCTGTAGCCTACCTGTTGTTTTCACAGGCCAAGGTGGATCCGAGAGTTTTGATGACTTCCCATTTGGAGGTAGACACTCAGGCGCCGTGCACTGTGTTTGGGATAAGAAGCATGATGCAAGAACCTAGTAAAGACTCCCTTAAACACACGTGTTCTTAATGCTATACAGAAATGAAAAAAGGCACAAAGGCAGGCTCTGCAACCTGTCCCTGCTTTAAGCTGAACGTTTTGGATTGAATTGAGCAAAACTGACAGCTCCCTGCTTGCTTTGCTTCCAGATCACCAATGATGACAGCGTTGCTGGCAGCAGCTGCTCCAGCTTTGAAGCCTGCCTAGGAGCTCGAGGCAGCAGCAGTGTGCCCCTTGGCAGTGTGGGTCACAGCCTGGGACCCTGCCCCCATCTCCCCCTCTTGCTGGTAGACTTGTTCCATGGGCACAGACCCTCTCTCAATCCAGAGAACTAGGAGTTTGTCCTCGACAGCGGGGTTGAGTTGGTATATGGATTTAGATGACAGAGGAAGACAGGATGTATGGGTATTAGGAAGCATTTAGTCTGTCCCTTCCCCTATGCGCAGCTGTGCCTGAAGCATTGCAGACAAGTTTATTAGCCTGGTTTTAAAACTGTTGAATCTGTGTTGTCCTGCCTGGCCTCCTGTGTCGGCTTTACTTTTAGGACACCCTTATTAGTCAGTCCTCTGCGTGTGTTTGAGGATATGGGGTTATCACTGTGACAGTGGTTGGGCTGTGTCGAGGAAGCTGCAGTTTCTGCACAGCTCTGTGGCCAGCTGCCTTCAGAAAACTGGTAGCTTAGAGTCCCAGAGAGGCGTGAAACATTGCAGGTGGGGAGAACCCGTCAGTATGTTCACACTGACGTAGTTGATGTCCTGCCAGTCAGAGAAGGGAAGTGGTATAGGAGATCTGGCAGCAGGGAGATTTTATCCCACTTGAGGGTGACAATAATGGGAATATCAGGCCAGCCTGCAGGTTCCAGGGCTTGCATTAGACCATGGCTCACCTGAAACAGAGCCCAAGCAGCTGCTTGCCCTGTTTATGCCTGAGGCTGGTGAGCAATAGCAGAGCTTTGCAGTGACTCAGTAACCTGCAGTGGAAACACTCTGAGCAGGAGGCTCAGGCTGAAATGCCAGGACTGGGGGGCGAGAAGTGTATGTGCACGTTCTTTCCAGTAATGAAATGACCAGTGTTACGGGAGCAGTTCCTTGCTCTTTCCACATAAAAAAGAGCAGCACAGAATGACTAATAGTGGAGCTTTTCCCTTTTCTTCTAGGTCAGCAGTTGGATTGAGAATGTTGGCAGAAAGCGGCTAAAGGAGATGACCAACCTGGATGATTCTTTGGAGATGCTGCTTCAAGCGCAAAAGCAGTTTAGGGAGTTTGATCTTACTGCCAGTGTAAGTGTTGTCTGATTTGGAAAAACATATTCTCCAGTGCCTGAGCTGGCAGCATGTTGCCTTGTACGTGCTCAGACAAACCCATGATGCTAAGATGGCATTGGTAGAGGGCGTGTGTCGTTCCTTTACACTGCTTGGCTTCCCTGCTCTCCTCTTGTAGACAAAGCCACCCGCTCAGCCCCTCAGTAGATGGTATTTGTCATTCTTGAGGAAAATAACTGCTGTGATGGAAGATGGGTTTTTTTGTTAATCCCTTGATGTGCTTGTAACACTGTCTTTTTTTGATCCTAATTGACCTGTGGTCTTACTGTTTAGGCCTTTACAAGCTGTTGTGTGGCTCATGTAAAGCATAACAGAGATCAGGACTCTCCAGAATTCTGCTGTAAACAAGTACACCCTCATGCTCATGTGATTTGAACCTTAAAAAACCAGTCTAATTAGTCCTAGCTGTTAATGACCTTGAAGACTATCTACTGTCTGTGTTGGGTCTCTGCCCTCATACAGAATTGCATTTTGCTTTCAGGAGTATTGCAGAAGGGGTCAGGAAGCCCTGAAGAAGATGGATCGATGGGAAGACTTTTCCTCTGTGGATGTACATTTGTACAGGGTAAAGCTGCAAACCTACAAAGATCAACTGGAAGAGTTCTGCACTGAACTGGATGAAAACAGGCATCGAATCTGTGAGACGGTCAGGCTGTATGAATTCTTTGACAAGGTAAGACAAGGCATCTGCTGCATGGAGGAGGTGTAAAAAGCCTGTTCAGACTCAGTCCAGAGCTTGGTTGTTTATGAAAGATGTGAAAGATCGGCTCCTTGTGTCCGGTCTTGGCCACTAGGCCAGGGTAGGCTGCCTGTGCTAACTGTTCGTACGGTGTTCTTACACACTGGTGGGTTCAGCCTGTTGACACATCAGAAGTAGCACCCTGCTATTCGGTGCTAAGTACAGCCCAGCCCCTCTTTTGTGGAGGCCTGTGTGAGGAAATGGAGCACCAGACCTGGGCGCTGGGCAGTGTGGCCAAGGGACCCCAGGGGACCGGGTTGACGCAGGCATCTGGGAAGCAGGAGGACAGGATGCGTGTGGTGACTGTGCTGGGTGCCTGGCCTTCCCACCTGTTTGGTTTAGTGCAGATGCACCCATTCAGCAGACCTGCAGCTGGATTTGGTGTCCTTTAATTTCTAAAGTTGCAGATAAATAAACAACAGGATTTTCTAAGTGCACTTTAAAATACAGCTGTGACAAGCACAGGAGGCCACGGAGCCTGCGCTCCATTTATTCCACACTTGTACAAACAGTGGGTATTGAAGTTCTCAAATTACAGAAAGAATAGACACTAAAAGTTAAGCTGTACCAGATGTAGGTGCCACTTAGTTGCTGTCTTTGAGCTGCGTTGGCAGCCAGAAGTGCTGGGGGAAGAGGGAGGAAATTCAGCTAAACATAAAAACATTGAGAAGCATCCTGTGCGAGGGAGGAAAGTGGAGAAGGCAGCCCAGAACACTGCTCTCAGGACATGTGGGGATTTAGTGAGTTTGGCGATGCTCTGCAGGTCCACTCTAGTTCATCTATGCACTTTGCTGTGCGGGTGGGGGACCCTCTTGCTGTGGGAATGTGTAATTATTCTCCCCCCATCCCTGCCCCGCAGTGAAAAGTGCCTTCTGTGCCGTAGGAGAACAGCAGGAACCTGCGCCCCGCACACTCATTGTGCACAGACGTACAGGGGCTGCTCTGTTGCCATCATGGGGGGTCCTGGCAAGGATCCTGTAAGGATGGTTGTTGTCATATTTCTTCAGGTAAACTGAGGCACACAAAGGTGCCAGGTCTGGCTTTAGTCCTGTATGAACCAACCCAACCAAAGTCGGGGACCTCTGGAGCCCAGACATGGACTGTGGCTCACGATGGCTGCTCCGTTCTCTGTTCAGGCATGGAAACTACGTCTCCATGGTGGCTCTTGGGCTGCCAGGGCAGTCAGACACGACTCAGCAGCAATGGGTGTTCTTCCACAGCTTCCCAGCCTTTCAAAACCTGGGCTGTTCCCAGGGGCACAAGTGTTACACAGACCCCCACGATGGCCCATGTATTTTCCTAGGACGTCACAGCACCGCTCATAAAGCTTCTTTTTGGTGGGTGACAGCTGGGGATGCAGTGCTTGGTGGCAGCAGCAGCAGCAGCAGCAGCATCTCTCTTGGTTGTGCCTTTCATGCTGCACGGCCCCAGTGCAGACGGAACGATAGTGGCACAGGGCGTTTGCACGCTGCTTTGGTGTGGAGGAGAGGTATCTGGCTTCGGGAGGGAGGAGGATTTTGATCTCACTGGTTTCAGTAGAACCATAAACAATGCCGGTGGTGTAAATATAACACGTGTGTGTTGGGAACTGGTGGCCAACTGAAACCAGGGCTGTGGAGGGGATACATCCTGCAGCTGTAGGATGAGTGCAGAAGTCGCTGTGCAGCGTGAAAGTTGTTTCAGTGCCAGTTATTTTGATCTTGATCTCCAGAATGCCTTCTGCCTTCCCAAAGCAAAGTCAGTGGTGTAGTCTGGGAGGTGGGGGGAAAGCAGATTTTATCTAAACTGATTTCACTTTCTTCTGATGCTGAGCTGCTTTGACCTTCCTGCAGCGATCCTGTCAGTGCCTGCCTAACCCGCTTGTCTCTTCCCTCAGATCTGAGGGGATCAACAGCAGGAGTCTAAACTAAGCCATGTCCTTGATTTTCCTTCTTGTAAAGAGCCTGCAGTGTGCCAGACCCTGGGATCTGGGGAAGAAGCCTGAGGATGCGTAAGCGATGTGCACTATGGTAATGAGCTGGCAAGCTCAGATCTCTCCCAACATCTCAGCACGCGCCAAGGGAGCAGAGCGCCCACCACGAGGATCATGGCATTCATCCCTCGTGTACCTCGCTGCCTGCTAGGAGTGGGAGGCTCTGTTCTGCTGGCCCTTCTCTGCGTGTACTGAGCAGGTGTCTCATCGATGCTGCCTGTGGCTGCGGGACAGGCCGTGGGACAGGACAGAATGACCCCAGATGGTCCGTCAAGACGCTGTACTGTGTTTTTCCCTGCTTGGCAGCTCCTGATGGCCTGTCGGAGCTCTCAGCAATGAGGCAGTCTGAGCTGGGCCAGACTGCATGGAGCTTGCACATGGGCTGGCAGGGTTCCCTCCCCAAACCACGATTGGTGCCAAGCTGGATGTTTCCATTTGTCCCCGCTTCCTTTGTGGCAGGAGCTCTTTGTGTCTGACAAGGGCTGGATGGTGGCTGGGCTGAGGCAGGAGGAATGGTGGGGAAAGCTGCCTTCCCCTCCCCGACTGCCAGAGGATTGTTTTTCAGTACCATGAACTCAGTGTGGGCATACTCGGGGACCTGCCATCTTCCTGTGGCTTCAAGCTTGGTCTGGCCGCTGTCCCTTGTTTCCTCAATTCCAGGACTGTGTTGGGATCTGGCACACGACACAGTGCTTTGGGGGAGAACTGGGAAACTGAGCAAGCAAGGGTGTATGTTGTACCAAAAGCACTGATGTCTGCTTTGTTCTGGGGCGCCTGCAAGGGCAGTCACCTTCCCTCGCTGCCTGTCCTCGTTTCACAGTGACGCTGCCAAAGGCACACCATCGTTGCTAGAAGGAGATAGAGCAAGTCTCCCTCTCCTTGCTTACTTTGGTAGCCTTCACGTTTTTTCCTCTCTTGAGGTGAAACTATTTCCCCGGTCACTCTTACATCCCCGGGTCTCTGCATGCTGTTGACTCTACCTCGAGTGAAGCGCCCAGCTGCTTGTGTCCAGAGGCTGGAAATGGGCCCGCGAGAGCTGCGGCCCCCCGCACGGCCG